CAGCATCATCATCATCATCATCATCATCATCATCATCATCATCATCATCATCATCATCAGCATCGTCATCATCATCATCAGCATCATCATCATCATCGTCATCCTCATCAGCATCATCATCAGCAGCATCATCATCATCAGCATCAGCAGCATCATCATCAGCATCGTCATCATCATCAGCATCATCATCATCACCATCACCATCACCATCACCATCATTATCAGCATCCTCATTATCATCAGCATCATCATCATCAGCATCATCAGCATCAGCAGCAACATCATCCTCCTCACCATCAGCACCATCATCATCAACATCAGCATCATCGCCATCATCATCCGCATCATCATCGTCATCATCGTCATCATCGTCAGCATCGTCATCATCAGCACCATCATCAACATCATCATCAATAACAACATCATCATCATCAGCATCATCATTATCGTCGTCATCATCATCAACATCAGCATCAGCATCAGCGTCAGCACTATCATCAGCAGCAGCATCATCATCATCATCAGCAGCAGCAGCAACATCATCATCATCATCATCATCACCGTCATCATCATCAGCATCATCATCATCATCAGTATCATCATCAGCAGCCTCATCAGCATCAGCATCAGCACCACCATCGACATCCTCAGCATCATCATCAGCAGCAGCATCAGCATCATCCTCATCATCAGCATCATTATCATCATCATCATCATCATCATCATCATCATCATCATCATCATCATCACCATCAGTATCATCATTATCATCAGCATCATCATCATCATCATCATCATCAGCATCAGCATCATCATCATCAACATCATCATCAGCATTACCATCATCAGCATCAGCAGCAGCATCATCATTATCAAGCTCCTCCTCATCCTCCTCTTCCTCCGTCTCCTGCTCCTCCTCCTTCTCCCTCCCTCCCTCCATCCCTCCCTCCCTCCCTCCCTCCATCCATCCATCCATCCCTCTCTCTCCGTCTTTCCCTCCCTCCCAACCTCCCTCCCTCCCTCCCTCCCTCAAACCCTCCCTCCCCCCCTCCCTCCCTCTGTGAATCCCGCCCTCCCTCTCTCCCTCCCCTCCATCCCCTCCCTCCCTCCACCTCCACCACCTCCTCCTCCTCCTTCTCCTCCTCCTCCTCCTCGTCCTCCTCATCAGCATCAGCATCAGCATCAGCTTCCTGCTCTTCTCCTCGTCATCATCCGCCTCCTCCTCATCCTCCTCCTCCTCATCTTCCTCCTCCTCCTCCTCCTCCTCGTCGTCCTCCTCCTCGTCCTCTTCGTCCGCTTCGTCCTCCTCCTACTTCTCCGCCTCCTCCTCCTCCTCCTCCTCCTCCTCCTCCTCCTCATCCTCCTCAGCATCATCATCATACTCCTCATCAGCATCATCATCATCATCATCATCAACATCATCATCATCATCATCATCATCATCATCATCATCATCATCATCAGCAGCATCATCAGCATCATCACCATCATCATCATCATCATCATCATCATCATCATCATCATCATCATCGTCAACAGCATCATCATCATCATCATCATCATCATCATCCTCAGCATCATCATCATCAGCATCATCATCGTCATCATCAGCATCATCATCATCATCAGCATCAGCATCAGCATCAGCATCATCAGCATCATCAGCATCATCATCGTCATCAGCATCATCACCATCATCATCATCAGCATCATCATCATCATCATCATCATCATCGTCATCAGTATCACCATCATCATCATCATCATCGTCGTCGTCATCATCATCAGCATCATCAGCATCAGCATCATCATCAGCAGCAGCATCATCATCAGCATCATCACCAGCAGCAGCCGCCGCATCATCATCCGAATCATCGTCATCATAATCAGCATCATCATCATCATCAGCATCATCATCATCATCCTCATCAACAGCATCAGCATCAGCATAATCAGCATCAGCATTATCATCAGCATCATCATCATCATCATCATCATCATCATCATCATCATCATCATCATCATCAGCATCATCCTCATCAGCATCATCATCAGCAATCGTCATCATCATCATCATCATCCATCTCATCATCATCTTCATCATCATCATCACCCTCATCATCGTCATCGTCAACAGCATCATCATCAACATCTCATCAGCATCAGCATCAGCATCATCATGATCATCAGCATCATCATCATCATCATCATCCGACATCGTCCTCGTCCTCGTCATCATCATCATCATCATCATCATCATCATCATCATCATCATCATCATCATCATCATCATCATCATCATCATCATCATCATCATCATCATCATCATCATCATCATCATCATCATCATCATCATCATCATCATCATCATCAGCATCATCATCGTCGTCGTCATCGCCATCATCATCATCATCATCATCATCAGCATCATCATCACCATCAGCATCATCACCATCCTACTCCTCCTCCTCCTCCTCCTCCTCCTCCTCCTCCTCCTCCTGTTCATCCTCCCCTTCCTCTTTATCGTCCTCCTCCTCCTCATCTTCGGCATCAACATCCTCATCAGCACCAGCATCATCATCAGCATCAGCATCATCATCAGCATCATCATCATCATCATCATCATCATCATCATCATCATCATCATCATCATCCTTATCATCATCATCATCAACATCATCATCATCATCATCATCAGCATCAGCATCAGCATCAGCATCATCAGCATCATCATCATCATCATCGTCACCATCATCGTCATCACCGTCGTCATCATCATCACCAGTATCATCATCAGCAGCAGCAGCATCATCGTCAACATCGTCATCATCATCAGCAGCAGCATCAGCAACAGCATAATCTGCATCATCAGCATCAGCAGCAGCATCATCAACAACAGTATCATCATCATCAGCATCATCAGCATCATCATCATCCTCATCATCATCAGCATCATCTTCTTCATCAGCATCAGCATAGGCACCATCATCATCAATATCATCAGCATCAGCAGTATCATCATCAGCAGCATCAGCATCATCTTCATCATCATCATCCATCAGCATCATCAGCATCAGCATAAGCATCAGATTCATCATCATACGTATCGTCATCATCAGCATCAACATCATCATCATCATCAGCAGCAGCAGCAACATCATCATCAGCAGCATCATCACCAGCATCATCAACAGCAGCAGCATCATCATCAGCAGCAGCATGATCAGCATCATCATCATGAGCACAAGCAGCAGCATCATCATCATCATAATCATCAGAATCATCATCATCATCAGCAGCAGCATCATCAGCAGCATCATCGTCCTTGTCCTCACCATCATCATCATCATCCTGATCCTCATCCTCATCCGCATCCTCATCCTCATCATCGACCTCATCCCCCGCCCTCCCTCCAATCCTTCTCCTCCTCCTCATCCGCCTCCTCATTTTTCTCCTCCTCATGCTCCCCCCAAAAGATCCTGCAACCCCCAAAAAATCCTCCTCCTCCTCCTCCTCCTCCTCCTCCTCCTCCTCCTCCTCCTCCGTCTCCTCCTCCTCCTCCTCCTCCTCCTCCTCCTCCTCCTCCGCCTCCGCCTGCGCCTCCGTCTCCGCAATCTCCTCCTCCTCCTCTTCCTGCACCACCCCAAAGATCCTCCTCCTCCCCCTCCTCCTCCTCCTTCTCCTCCTTCTCGTCAACTGTTCCGCCCTTCCTTCGCCGAACGCCAGCGGCGAGGTCGCCGCCGCTTTGACACGACGTGAACCTACAACACCCTCACTTCCCCACTGCGAATGCCCGAGATCCCCCCAGAGATCCCAGGCTCCACAAAAAGTCGGAGCGGATGGTCTTCGGCCGTTCTCGACTTCCAGGGGGCCTCGCCGGGCCTCGGGCCCGTCCAAGAAACGACTCGGGACGAGAAGCCGGCCCCAGGGAAGGGGTCAAGACTTCTTAAGTCGGGCACGTCCCTCTACAGGGGGAATATTCACAAATAGTCAAAAAATAGTCTGGGGACGATTTTTCACTATTTCTGACTATTTCGGGATATGTTTTGACTACGTTATATTTTTCGTCTAAAATCCCCCTGTATCAGAACATGCCCGACCGTCCACGCATCGGAACAATCGGAGCAGCTAAACGTCTGGGCATGCTGCCCATGGACTTGGACCGGCTGGGGGTCCCCCAGTCGCTTCGTCGTCTCCTGCCCCCCTCTTGCATGGCGGCACAATTTGCTCAACGGCAGCCCCGTTTTGCTTCCTCACCAGCGCAGTGACTCTGCCTAGCCGCCGACGGAAGAAGTGCTTTCTGTCGTCCTTGTCTGGCCCAGGCCCCACTGCGTCCCACGGCCGAAACTGGACCGCGATCGGCTTGCCCGCATCGGATCGGGAGCAGCCCTTGGCACCCGGAAGCCACGCTGGGCCGCCCCTGGGCTCGAAAAAACGGCCCTGGGAGGCCGCAGTGCAGACGACGACGACGACGACGACGACGACGACGACGACGACGACGACGACGACGACGACGACGACGACGACGACGGCGAGGCAAAACGCCAGGGCTGGAAGACACACCATCCTCTGGGTGCCTGGAGCCCACGCCCGATGGGCATCCAGGGGAGCCAGGGCCAGGGCTCACGCGCGGCTGCCCGGAGGTGGCTCTGGGTGAAAGCGGGCGGGCCGGCCCCACCCCCGTCTGCGAGAGGAGACCAGGCGGTGCCGCCGAGCCCCTCCCCCAGAGGGAACGCAATCTGCGCGGACGCCCCCCCGAGGTCCAGCGCGCCCACCGCCGGCCCCGCCGGGCGCAGCCACCAGAGCGCGAGCAGCCCGAAGAGCGCCTCCTCGTCGCCGCTGAGCGAGCGGAACGCCTGCGGCGCCAGCTGGAACTGCGCCGCCGCGCACGCACGCCGCACGCTGACGTAGATCGCGCGCTGGGCCTCCTCCGCGAGCGCGCGCATGCCCCCCGTGCCGTAGAGCAGCAGCGGCGTGCCCGCGCGCTCGCCCGCGGGCACCACGCCCTCCGCGAAGCGCAGCAGCGGCCCCACGGACCGCGCGGCGCCCTCGGGCTCGGCCTCGAAGGCGGCGAGCCCGGGCTCCACCCGCGAGCTCCACTCGGGCCGCGCCTTCGGGCGGGCCGCGGCCCCGCGGCCCCCCCACCGCGGCCGCTCCCCGCCCTGCCCTCCCCCCGCCAGAGGGGCAGCGCCGGCTCCGCATGAGGGGGGCAGCAGTTCGAGGAGCGGAGGCACGGAGGACAGAATTGGGGGGTGGAGGGGGAGGAGGACGGGGAGGAACGGGAGGAGGGCAGACGCAACAGCTGTGCAGCTCATGTCTGCCCAACGACAATATGGAGGAGGAGGAGGAGAGGAGGAGGAGGAGGTAGGAGGAGAGGAGGAGGAGGGGAGGGAGGGGGGGGGGAGGGAGGGGGAGGGGAGGGCGAGGGGAGAGGGAGGGGAGGAGGAGGGGAGGGGAGGGAGGAGGAGGGGAGGGGAGGGGGGGGAGGGGGGAGAGGGAGTAGAGGGGAGGGGAAATGGATGAGGAGGGGAGGGGGAGGGGGGGGATGGGGGGGGGGGAGGGAGGGGGAGGGGAGAGGGAGGGGAGGGAGGGAGGGGGAAGGGAAGGGAAGAGGTGGGATGGGAGGGGAGGGGAGGAGAGGAGAGGCGAGGGCGAGAGGCCAGAGGCCAGAGGCGAGAGGCGAGAGGCGAGAGGCGAGAGGCGAGAGGCCAGAGGCCAGAGGCCAGAGGCCAGAGGCCAGAGGCCAGAGGCGAGAGGCGAGAGGCGAGGAGAGGAGAGGAGAGGAGAGGACAGGCGAGGCGAGGAGAGGAGAGGAGAGAGGAGAGAGGAGGAGGGAAAGTAAAAGGGAAGGGTGAGCGAGGATGAAAAAATTAGCCTGACGAGGGACCCAACCATATACAGGTGTGAGTACCGCAATAGTGATTCACTTTTTCGGTGGCGATCCCTATGAGGCAACGAACCGTGCTAGGGGTGTGCCGACATGAGTGGCGTGGTACACAACGCGAACGAAAACGATTGATCTGAGTACGTAGGGAGACTGAGCGCGGGTGAATCTGCGCGCGTGCGTCTGACTGTGAATGATCTGCGTGCGAGCGAGTCTACGTGCATGAATGCGAATATGACAAAGCGTGGTGCAATTGTGTATGAATGTCAATAGTTTGACAATGACTGCCTCTGAGTACTCGTGACGCTGGGCGTGGCCGCCGCAAGGAGCTTCCCCGGGACTCCCCGACGGCATCGCCCGCGCGCCGCGACGCCAATGTCGGCGCGCCCCCCCGCGAGGATCGCGCCCGCTTCCTCCCCTTCCTTTACTCCCTCTTTGCCCGCGCACTCAAAAGTCCAAGGCTGCGGGCGCAGCGCAGCGCGGAGTCCCCGCGACGCGCGCAGGTCGCCCCGGAGGGGTCCCAGCGACGCGCGCGGGTCGTCCACTGCGCGGAGCAAAAAGAGCTAGCTGGCTGGCTGATAGCGGGCAAGGCTCTTGCCGCTGGGCAGAGAGACGACGGGACGCATGCGGGCACACCCACTGGGACCTTCGGTGGAGCTCCCTGTGGGGCCACGAAACGTGCGAGGGGTGGGCCGAAATGGTTGTGCGGGACGCATGCGGGCACACCCACTGAGACCTTCGGTGGAGATCCTTACGGGGCCACGAAACGTGTGAAGGGTGGCCGAAATGGGTGTGCTGGACGCATGCGGGCACACCCACTGGACCTTCGGTGGAGCTGCCTATGGGGCCACGAAAACGTGGTGAATGGTGTGCCGAAAGGTGTGCGGGACGCATGCGGGCACACCCACTGGGACCTTCGGTGGAGCTCCCTATGGGGCAACGAAACGTGTGAGGGGGGTGCCGAAATGGTTGTGCGGGACGCATGCGGGCACACCCACTGGGGCCTTCGGTGGAGCTCCCTATGGGGCCACGAAACGTGTGAGGGGTGTGCCGAAAATGGGTGTGGCGGGACGCATGCGGGCGCACCCACTGGGGCCTTCGGTGGAGCTCCCTATGGGGCCACGAAACGTGTGAGGGGTGTGCCGAAATGGGTGTGCGGGACGCATGCGGGCACACCCACTGGGACCTTCGGTGGAGCTCCCTATGGGGCCACGAAACGTGTGAAGGGTGTGCCGAAATGGGTGTGCGGGACGCATGCGGGCACACCCACTGGGACCTTCGGTGGAGCTCCCTATGGGGCACGAAACGTGTGAGGGGTGTGCCTTGCGGGACGCATGCGGGCACACCCACTGGGACCTTCGGCGGAGCTCCCGATGGGGCCACGAAACGTGTGAGGGGTGTGCCGAAATGGGTGTGCGGGACGCATGCGGGCACACCCACTGGGACCTTCGGTGGAGCTCCCTATGGGGCCACGGAACGTGTGAAGGGTGTGCCAAAATGGGTGTGCGGGACGCATGCGGGCACACCCACTGGGACCTTCGGTGGAGCTCCCTATGGGGTCACGAAACGTGTGAGGGGTGTGCCGAAATGTGTGTGCGGGACGCATGCGGGCACACCCACTGGGACCTTCGGTGGAGCCCCCCATGGGGCCACGAAACGTGTGAGGGGTGTGCCGAAATGGGTGTGCGGGACGCATGCGGGCACACCCACTGGGACCTTCGGTGGAGCTCCCTATGGGGCCACGAAACGTGTGAGGGGTGTGCCGAAATGGGTGATGACGATGATGATGAAGATGGGAGGAGGGAGGGGGCAGCGGGAAGGAAGGAAGGAACGCGGGGCGACGTCTCTTCAAAACGAGGACCCAACACCACAGGATGGTTGGGAAAAACAGCAGGGGGAGGAGGGCGGAGAAGAGGAGGAGCAGGATGGGACGCCGCAGCGGGGGCCGACGGCAGAGTTCGGCGCCTCGCTCAGCGCCGGGTGCGCGCCCCGAGCGCCAGGCCGCCAGCGGAGCACGTGCACGCGCGTGCCAGTGCTCCCCGCGTCCAGCGCCACGGCGAAGCGCCCGGCAGCGGCGTCGGCTGGCGCGCCTGGCGCGCCCGCGCCAGGGCCCACTGCGCCGCGGCACGGGCGCGGCGCCGCGGCGGCGAGCAGCGCCGCAGACGCGACCAGACCGCTGGGGCGCCACAGGCGCGCCAGGCTGGCCCCCACAGAGGGCTCGGACGGAGGCGGGGCGCAGGCCAGGCCAGGTCCTGTGCCAGGGGCCCAGCTCGGCATCGCTCCCGCGGGGCTGGGGCCACGGGGCCGAGGCCGTGTGCGCGCAGGGCCTGCTGAGGTGGCCCCGTCTGCGGGTCACACAAAACCTGCGGGTCGGAGGCCTTTCCTGGGTCGCCCAACGTCGCGCATCGCGCCCAGCGATGCGCAACGCGCGATTCTCTTCGCGCTCTCGCGCCCCCGCGACGCCCCCTTGGCGAAGGGCAGCCTCTCTGCCCCAGGCTGCGACGCGCACCGCGCGGTCATCTTCGCGCCCCTGGGAGCGACCTAGTTTTCGGCCACCGCACAGGAGACTGCAACATCCAGATCGGGCTGTTAAGTTCTGCAGAACTGCACCGTGCCCTGCGCCCACGCTCACCGAAAAAATCAGCTTGGACTGGCTCCAATCAATCGAGGAGGCGAGGCGGGAGGCCGATGGCTGAGGTGGGCAGGCGGTGCAGGTCTGGCTTCGGGCAGCATTGGCTGGAAAGATAGAGGGGGGAGCTTTCCAGACTGCCTGGAGATCCCAGTAAGAGCACCGCAGGGGTCCTCACACTGAACTGCTCCCCCGTTGAACTCCAGACCTGGCCTTCCAACTGACGAGCGCTCGCATCCTCATTCTCCTCCTCATCCTCCTCCTCCTCATCATCAGCATCATCATTATCATCATCAACACGACCACCACCACTACCATCATCATCATCGTCATCATAATAAAGCATCATCATCATCAACATCAACATCAGCAGCATCAGCATCGTCGTCATCATCATCGTCATCAGACTCATCGTCAGCATCGTCACCACCACCACCATCATCATCATCATCATCAGCATCATCATCATCATCATCATCATCATCATCATCATCATCATCATCATCATCATCATCATCATCATCATCATCATCAGCAGCAGCAGCAGCAGCAGCAGCATCATCCGAGTCATCATCATCACCACCACCATCCTCATCATCATCACCACCATCATCAGCATCTTCCCCTCCTCCTCCTCCTCCTCCTCCTCCTCCTCCTAATACTCCTCCTCCAAGTCCTCCATCTTTTCCTTACAAATAACTCCCCCCTGTCGCAACCCCAGACGTGTCGTTTGGGTGGGCCTGGCGTTTCGCCTGAGACCTCCTCACGTAAAATCCTGAATCTTGAAATTTGCACCACCTTCAAGGATGGAGGGCGGGTCAGTTTCAAAATGTTGCTCTAGATTGAGCACCGCGCACATTCATCTTAAAGTTCTGCAGTAGTTTCAAGGATGGAGGGCGGGTCCTTTTCGAAACGTGGCTCTCGCCTTAGCGCCGCACACGTTCGTCTTAAGTTGAAATCCAGCGACTGGTATTATGGCACGGCGTTGGATTCAGGACGCAACAGACACGTTGTTGTGGCACGATTCGGTTGAGGATTCTCAGACGGTTGTCTTCCAGTGGGGAACTTCTCGTAATGAAAATAAAGCTTGTATGGACTTAAGGAGAGGAAACTTGAAGAGAGGGGCTGTTGCAACACAACTGGTGCGTTGTGGATGTACACTGGTCATCCTCCTCCCCCTTCCTCCTCGCTCCTCCCTCCTCCTCATCCTCATCCTAGTCCTCCGCTCATCCTCATCCTTTCCTCATCTCTCGCCTTGCCCTCCTCCTCCTCCTCCTCGTCCTTCCTCCTCCTCCTCATACTTCTCCTTCTCCTCCTCCGCCTCGGCAGCATCCTCCTCGGCCTCATCGATTATCCTCCTCCTCCTCGATCCACCTCCTCCTCCTCCTCCTCATCCTCATCATCATCCTCATCATCATCATCAGCATCATCAGCATCATCATCACCATCATCATCATCATCATCATCAGCATCAGCATCAGCATCAGCATCATCATCATCATCATCAGCATCATCATCATCATCATCATCATCATCAGTATCATCAGCTTCAGCAGCAGCATCATCAGCATCATCATCATCATCAGCATCAGCAGAATCATCAATCACCATCACCAGCACCATCATCATCATCGTCATCATCATCAACAACATCAGCACCATCATCATCATCGTCATCAGCATCATCATCAGCAGCATTATCATCGTCATCAGCAGCATCATCAGCGTCAACACCATCAGCATCAGCAGCAGCAGCATCAGCATCAGCATCAACATCATCATCATCATCATCATCATCATCCCTCCTTCTCCTTCGTCTTGCCCAGCCTGATGCCAAGCCTCTTCGCATTCCGTGTAGCCTGGGCCGCGGCACACATCTCAGGTGACGAAGTCATCGACGAGTCTTCCGTGAGCGCATTCAGAGCTCTCCAGGGAAGAGGAGGTGGGAGCAGGAAATCCAAAGGAGGGTAGGGCGAAGGAGGGCCCTACACGTTGACATTGTTGTATGTATGTGCATACATACATGCACATATACATACATACATACATACATACATACATACATACATACATACATACATACATACATACATACATACATACATACATACATATATACATACATACAAACATACAAACAAACAAACAAACAAACATACATATATACGTACATACATTACATACATACGTACATACATACATACATACATACATACATACAGGCATACATACATACATAAATACATACATGCATACATGCATACATGCATACATGCATATATGCATACATGCATACATGCATACATGCATACATGCATACATACATACATACATACATACATACATACATACATACATAGATACGTATATATATGTATATACATACATGCATACATACATACATGCATACATGCATACATACATACATACATACATGCATGCATACATGCATGCATGCATGCATGCATGCATATATAAATACATACATACATACATGCATACGTGCAGACATGCAAACATGCATACATGCATGCATGCATGCATACATACATACACCCATGCCCACATACATACAAACATACGTGCGTATATACATACGTACATACCTACCTACTTGCATACATACAGACATGAATGCATGTATGCATGCATGCGTGCATGCATGCACGCATGCATACATACATACATACATACATGCATGTGTACATACGTACATACATACATACATACATGCATACATACATACATATATACATACATACATACATACATACATACATACATACATACATACATACATACATACATATATATATACATACATACATACATGTATACATACATGCACACGCATACGTACATATAGACATACATACGTACATATAAACATACATACATACATAGTACATAACACATACATGCATACATACATACATGCATATACGTCTACATATACAGATTCATATACGGCTACGTCTGCATATACACTTACACTTACCATTACATACACCTGTATGTGTACCTATGCATAGACATGTACGTATACATATACATATACATATACATATATGCATACACGTGATTATCCACCTGCACATACACATACATATACAAATACGTGCACATATAAATGTACATATGCATAGACATACACATACAATGATACGTATACATATACATACACATATATATATATCCATATACATATACACATGCATACATATATTCATATATATATATATATGTGTATGCGTGTGCTTAAAAACATATACATACACAGGCACATACGTACATGCGCATACGTACGCGCACGTACAAATACGTACACCTACGTACAGATCAAGACATACGTTGCGGTGCGATCCAGTATCACAGAATGACGAACAACAACAGATGCAGTAGGATCACGGGTGCCAAGTGAGAGCGAGGGAAACCAATGTGCTGTAAATTAGGCCGAGCAATAGCAGGGGAGATTAGGGGAGGGGAAGAAGGGAGAGGGACACGCAGAGGGCCCAGGAGGAGAGAGAGAGAGAGAGGGGGGAGGCGGAGGGAGGGGGAGGAAGGCGGAACGAGAAAGAGGGAGAGGGGAGGGGCACGAGGAGGAAGGAGCGAGGAGGGGAAGGGGCGAAGGGAGCCAGGGAGGGGGAAGAGCGAGAGGAGGAGGAGGAGGAGGAGGCGGGGGAGGAGGAGCAGCAGCAGCAGCAGCAAGAGCAGCAGCAGGGTGGATGGGGGGAGAGGGGGAAGGGGGGCGAGCGAGGGGGGGGGGGCGACAGGAGCGGGGTGCGCGAAGAGGGAGGAGCAGGGCCGCTTGCCTAGAACCATCCCGACGAGCCAGCCCACGAGCGTGGTGAGGAAGATGAACATCATCCAGTTGGGCTCGTAGTCCTGGTCGCGCCCGCCCGCGGAGGCGGCCCCCGATGGAAGAACAGCAAGCACGCTTCCCTTTTCGGTCGCCGCGGCCAGGCGCACCGCCGTGGCATCGAAAACAAAAAACACACACACAACTCATACAACTCTCTTTCTCTCTCTCTCTCTCTCTCTCTCACGCACACACGCACACACGCACACACGCACGCACGCACGCACGCCACGCCACGCACACGCACACACACACACACACACACACACACACACACACACCACACACACAACACACACACACGCACACACACACACACACCACGGACACACACGCACGCCCACACACCACGCACACCACGCACACCACGCACACACACACACACATACACACACACACACACACACAGACACACACACACACACACACACACACACACACACACGCGCGCGCGCGCGCGCGCGCGCACGCCACGCACGCACGCACGGCGACGCACGCACGCACGCACGCACGCAACCCACACACACACACACACACACACACACCACACACACCCACACACACACAACAACACACGCACGCACGCACGCACGCCACGCACG